TACGGAGGTGAAAATATGGAGGATTGAAGATAAATGATAATATTTATAGAGAGAGAGTATTATAGGTTACACTGATTTTATAAAATTCTAACAACTCGAGAATGCGTGATCAAGAAATCATTCAACGATTTGAAATTGAGTAATGTTCAAGGTATAAAATAAATTTGCAAATCACGATCAAATCTTAACAAATATTTTAAAAATAAAATCCAAATATTTATCGCATAAAGCTTTATATGAAATCATTCTTTGGTGAGAGACAGACCTTGGAAAAAATAAATTCTATGAATCATAAACTAGGGGATAAGGACAAATCACATATATTAAAGGGACCATAAGCTCATAACTAAATCAACCGGTTTAATATACGGTATAACTTCTGACAAAAGGTATAGTAGCAGAAGAAGCCATAAGCAGAACTCAAAATATTAGTTTTGACACGAATATATTTGAAACTTCTGTCAAGCTTCATAAACTCTGTAGTTTTAAATTTACTTAGATCCATGAAATGATTTAAGCAGAAGAAGGTATAGTAGCAGAATTCAAAATCAGCAACAAGAGAGAATCAAATCAGAAGAACATTATTTATGGTTTCATAACATTAAATAGAACTTTGTTGAGAGACAAAGCACTCACAGTTTATTTCTACTATCGATGAAATCTTGAAAACAGAAACTGCATACACCAACAATTCAAAAAGAAACACAAACCAAAAAGTCTTAAACCAAAACAATACGAAAGTTCTTGAATGAAAACACACATAACCTCTCTGATTCAACAAACTCTGCATCATATCAGAGAACATAGGTATTCTTCTTGATGTTCCTTCTACACCATCAAACCGCCATTGCCTGATTCAAGGAACAACAACAGGTCAAAGCGGATTAGAAAGCAAACGAGGAAGAAACATTGTATCATTATATATAAACATATAACTTACACGGAAGAACGCTTTCAGTAAAAGGGAACACAACAGGACTCTCAAATTCAGCAGAATTCACCCTTTTCTTGGTCCATGTTCCAGTCTCCACATCAAAATAACACCAACGTTCGTTAGTCATGCACATGATCTGTTTTCCTGATGACGTCATGGCTAAAACCAACTCAAGGTCGTCATCGTTTGGATTCTTATCTACGTATTCACATACCCAAGTACTAGATTTCTTGTCGCCTTCCTTCCATACCCATGTATCCATGTAGCCCGGATGTAGAACAACCATTGAGAGAGCTCCTCTCAGATTGATGAGATAGCTACCCTCGGTTATGCTATCTTCCTCTTTTAGGCCATCAGAGTAATGAGGCAACTTAATCACCTTGAATTTCCCTCTCAAATCTACAGATAGAATCTTACCACGACCAACTAAGGAAGATAGCCAGTAAACCTTACCTCCGACAAAAACATGGGCAGATCTGAATGGACTATAATAAGAATTCATCGGAAGACAAGGCACAGGGCCGATGTTTCTCCAAGAACCTGTGTTTGAAGAATACACCTCGCATTCATATGCGAGAGCATACTGATATTTTCTAACCATATGACCATCTGGATAATCATATCCATCAAACACCCTTTCTTCGGGACTTTTCTTTCCAACACAGAATATGCGGAAAACTAAGTAATCACTGGTGTTGGAGTAATAAGCTACTCCGACACTTGGCACAAACTGATACGAGCGTCTCCCTTGGGGAAGAAGGAGAGTTTCCCCCGTAAACGGATTACAAATCCATATTTGAAGATCACATAACTCGCTTTCTACGTCTTTATCATAAATCCGATTTATGCAACAAATAAGTCCGTTGAAGGACGATATTATGTGCATCTCTTCTCCATGGCTTCTCTCAGAAGGATCAATCCTATTCACATCAGAAAGTTTGAAACTTCCTGGTTTCATCGAATACAACTAAATTGCACTATCCCTAGTTTGACCGACAATGAATGTCGGATTCTCCCTTGATCGATATAAGTGCTGCTTAGCAAAAAACTTACTTCTAATAGAGCCATACCAGTATTTGTTGATCGTCTGAAAGGAACGTATAGATTGAACGGGCAAGCGCGACAAGATGTCACTAAAGACATCCTGTACAGATTCAATCTGACTCCATAATACTCCCTTGCGGCGTTGCCGAGTTTCAACCATGTCTTCTTTGCTTCCTGTTGCTAAGGCTCTGCATCAACAAAAAAAAACAGGGCGGCTTAAAACATACCCTTTTTTTTCAATTTTTTAATTAGGGCGGCTTTAAACAAAACTTTTTTTTTCAATTTTTTTAATTAGGGTCCTTAACAAAAAATTTCGAATGCTTTTTAAATAAAGTATTACATGGTATTGAGATTTTTTTATTAAAGTAGGGATTGCGTATGTTCCATGACCATCTCTATATGATTAGTCTTGTGCCTCGAACCAAAGCTCCAAATCTCCATCGGTACAATGCCTCGAATCGAACATAGCTAGTTCAA